AGCATATTATTTTAAATCTAGAATTCAATTCAGCAACACCAAATTCATCCTTTAAGTTGTGTGGAGTTGCAATTGCATTTGGTTTTAAGAGCCAGAATCCAGGAAGGGTTTTTCTTTCCTCCTTAGGGAGAGGGGAAGGATCCCCAGACCTATTTCATGAGAGCTATGGAGGAAAAATATCCAGTTGTTACTCACAGGCAGTTCACGGTCAATCTAGAGAAATGGTTATGTGAAAAACTAGGTTCAAGACAACATAAGATTTTTTTTTTTTTAAAAGAGACTTGAACAAGTTGGGAGGTTGTGTACAGAGACAAGTATGGAAACCACCTGGGTAAAATGCAGAGAGCCTCTGTCTTGGAGGAGTAGGAATTTGTCAGACTTGACGTGGAAGAAGGACATAAGAGGCAGAGAGAAGTGGGACCTCATGGAAGGATGAGTTAGGTTAAGAGAAGAGGTGATGGTTTGCTGAGGCTGATGGTGGAGCTGTGTGTCTGGGGTGACCTTATGCAAGGCCTTGGCCAAATTGGGCAAGACCTTGAATGCAATTCCAAGAAGAGTATGGACTCTCTCTTGGTAATGAGAACACAATGGTTTTTAATATGAAAGATGAGAACCACATTTTAAGAAGTTTCATTTAATAAGTTTAGTAAACATTTACTGAGTGTCTAGTACGTTTTGGTCCTCTGTTCAGGTCAGATTCCACATCAGTGAACAAGAAAGACAAGTTGCTCTCCTGTGGACACAAGTGGCCAGGTTATTATCCAATATGGAAGGGTGCAATGGAGGAATCTAGGGTGCCAGAGAAGCACATTCGAGGGACACCTAACTTCCTCCTGGGGAGTAAGGTGTTTTTTTCTTTAGAGCATTCTACTCTGAGGTCTGGGGACTGGGTTGGAGTTGTCCAGGTTAGATATGGGGGAGAAGAGAGCTCTAAGAGGTGAAGTTGCAAAACTCTGGCATTCATTTGGGATTTGAACTATGTCAGGCAGCCACTGAATTGGCTCCTGGTCTTCATGCCCTTGTATGATCCCCTTGCCTTGAGTGTGTGCTGAAGCTAGTGACTCAGTTCTAATAATAGAATGCAGCATAAGTAATGGAATGTCATATCTGAGAGTAGGTCTCAACAACTCTGGGGCTTTTCTTTCTTTCTCTTTATCCCTCTTACTTTCCTACTCTGGTAGAAAGAAGCTAGCTGCCATGTTGTGAGCTGCTCTATGGAGAGGACCATGTAGCAAGGAACTGAGGGACTCCTCCAACCAATCACCAGCAAGGCCTTCTGTCCAACAGCACTTAAGGAACTGAATTCTGCCAACAACCATATGAATAACCTTGGAAACAGGTCCTTGACCTTGAGGCTGAGCCATCCTGCCAAGCTGGACCTGGATTTCTCAATTGCAGAAAATATGAGATAATAAATGTTTGTTGTTTTAAACAGCTAGGTTTTAGAGCAAATTCTTAGGTAGCATCTGACAACTAATACAAACTGTAAGAAGGAGGAGACTGTCAATCAGGAGGTTTATTCTTCCTCTCTACAGTGGGGAAGAGAAAGGACCTTCTTCTTCAATTCTCCAGCTCCCTTTATCTCTTTCTACTCAGCACCAAACCCTGCAGACACTGCCTCAGGACACCCCAGACAGAAATGGTCTCACCTGTCTCACAGCAGCTGTGGCTGTACAGGTAGGGTTAGGTTCAGTCCTTTTCTTCAGTGGGAAAGACATTGGCTCAGCAGGAAGAGAAGAGAGGAAAGTGGAGTCCCCAAACTCAAGAGGCTCTCTTGGGTTTGTTTGTAAATGTGAAATTAAATATTGATGGTTTATGAATCAAAATGCAAACACTTGAATTAATCCTGACTATTTTTTTTTTCCAGTGGGGAAACAGCTGCACTAAGACCCAGTAGGTGGGAGACCAAGTACCATCATAGGGCAGAAAAATACAAATACATCCAAGAGAGGGAGCTCCTACTGAGCACTCCCTACTCCAAGATCCTGTGGACCAGCTGGGTGCACTATCAGTCTTCCTGACCGGTCCGTGGACCCCTTCCTCCATCCCTTGTCCCACAGTTACTTGACTTTTTTTTTTTTTTTTTTTGGTACTGGGGATTGAGCTCAGGGCCTTGCACATGCTAGCTAAGTGATCTACCACTGAGCTATATCCCAACCCTGGGCCCTCTCCATTTTGTAAAAACTTGAGACAGGGTCTTGCCAAGTTGCTCAGGCTGGCCTCAAACTTGAGAGAGACTTGGGAGACCTCCAGTCTCATTCTCCCAAATAGCTGGGACTACAAGCCTGAGCCACTTTGTCCAGAATTACTTTTTTTTTCAGTTTCTTGCACAGACAGTGGAATGGAATCCACACTTCTGCCTGAAAGAACAAGTATTAATATAAAATTAACAACTTAGAATTCATGCCTAGCAGGAGTTGTAGGGAAGGGTCCAAGTTTTTGATAACTACCTTCCAATAGAATGCCATAAAAAAAAAAAAAAAAAAAAACATGTGCCAATGGGCTTCTCTCTCTGGGTTTCTGGATTTTAATTGCAGTTAAGAGGGCTCTTTGTGGTATTTTCAATGTTTAAAAACTTTCAGAGAAATATAGACATATTTGCTATAGCCACATAGAGTGACCAAAAAGATTGTTTTTACCCCCCATCATGGAAACATTCTTTTATAAGAAGCCAAGCTTCTTATTATAGAGTCTTGTTATATGGTATATATATATTTTCTGGGGATATGGCATTTTTTTAAAATGAGAGATTTATAAATAAAAATAATGATCATATGACAGTCTTGACTTTGAACAGTTGGGAATTATTAGTTTTGGTCAGTACCCTAATTTGACAGAGGAGAAAATAAGCTGTGTGATGTCAAGTGACAGCTATTTCGTGGTAACTCAGGCCTCCTGGTCATGTGCCTGGGAATTGTGCTCCTCTCCTATAGCAACTCTCCCTTCATGGAAAGACCATCATGTGATTGAATTTCTTAAGTGTTTGCACAAAGGCCAGGAGCAAGAAATAATGGAAGTTACAGGGAGAGAAATTTTTGTTCAGTATAACAAAGAATTTTACATATAATTAGTGTTAGGTAACACCATGGAAGGTGTTACCTTGGGAGTGTCTGCAAGAACTGGAAAAATTAAAATGCCCTCCCCCCAAAAGATTATTGAGTGTTCTATGGCATGTATCCTGTGATGGACTTATCTAATGCACTTTTCTGGGTTATTTGATTTTTATAATGGTACATGCCTTGAATGGTTATGTAGCTATTTTCCAATTCTGTAAGTTAAAAATATGGATAGTAATGCAAATGATTCTTGTCCATAGATATGCAAATAAATTTTATCAGGCAGAAGTACAACTGATCCCCCACCACAGAGACAGTTATGCCTTTATTATTATATTCATTTCAGCTTCCCTACTGCCTGTGTATCTGTTTTTTGAGTTCTCCTCTACACAAGTTTAAGTCCTTATTGGTTCCTTCATTAATTAATGAACTAAATAAAATATTTGCGTGTTCATTTTATATTTGTACAAGAGCCATGATTTCACTCTTTTGAAAGCAATTATGTTTTAACAAGAGGCCTTGAATGTGTTATGGTGGAGGATGCATGGCCACTTCTTGGTTCCTGCTATGGAATGGAATCCTTACTCTTGACCACTATGGTCCTTTTCAAACTTCCAGTGTAGAGTTCTTCATCTCTCTGTCTCCTGTAGGAGACCCAATTTTCCGCAAGTGCAGGAACCTTGCTATCCCCACTAACAAAAATCAAAGGAAGGAGGTGTTGTATTGTGATGTACTCACCTTTTCCTTTTATGACCACCAGGGGGCATGGAAGTCTTCGTGGTAAACAAGACTCCACCTAAAGAGCGCTGGAGGCAGAAGAATATTTGCTGGACGTCGTGGAGAGGATTAGAGCTTTGAACCGCAGGGCTAGTTCAAACAGCCCAACCCCTGTCATACAGACTATCTTTATGGCAGTCGATGAAGTCAGCGTGAAGCATGCATGTCGCAGAAGAGGGCAAAGTCCTGTTAGAATTGCAAAAATATTTATAACCTTTTAAACTGAATGCATAGAGAACTTCTTTCCCTAAGTTGAGAATTACATCTTTGGTTCCTTAGTCCCATTTACTGAGTTCTCTTCTGCTCAGTTTGTCATTGGTCTTCCGTTCCCACCCCCCCCCCCCGCCCCCCAAAAAATAGCGAAGGGAAGAGAGGGAGAGGGAAGAGAAGGGATAAGGAGGGAGGGGAAATTAGAACAGGTCCATCTTTTCATAAAACACCCGGGAACCTCTACACTTGGTAGGAAACGAGTAGACTTGTAGATATTCACAAGTAGACCAAGTAGATATTAAACTGCCAAATAGATATTATCTCTGACTTTACAGATATGGAAACGGATCCTCCTGAGAAACAGAGCTTTCCCAAAGGTATACAAATTATTAAAGGCAGGTGTCAGACCTCAACTACTAACAGCGTAAAAACCCAAACTCCTGGCCGCAGCCTCCCCCTCCCCACCTCATCTCTAGTTATTCCTCTGGGACACCCCGGGACACCCCTTCCAGCCCGGGCCGCGCTGCTTCTGGTGCTTGGAATGCCCTTCCTCCAGGGGGAATATCTCTTGAGTGTCATCAGAACATTTTCCTCCCACCGACGGTGGCACAAATCACATTGTCTTAGTTGCTAGTTTCCAGGAGATTGTCCCACCCTAGCAATGAGTCAGCCGGGGGGGGGCTGGATCCCAGTCTAGATAATGAATGGCTGTGGAGTAGAAAAGACGCAATCGAGGCCACCCCCACGGTTCTCCTAGCGGCAGGGTCCACCAGCGCCAGAGCCTCCACTTCTTTGAGGGACCTGGAGTTAGAGGTGGAGTGAGAGGCGCGAGGGGGGCCGGGCAGCGGCCGGGCGCGGGCCCTTTAACTAGGAGCGCGGGCGCGGCCAGGTAAGGGGCGGGCCTGCGGGCGGATGAGCGCTGCGCGCCGGCGCCGGCCCGGGAGCCGGATTTGGAGCGCTCGGCGGCGGCGGGGGCCGGAGGAGGCGGCGCGGCGGAGCCTCGGTGGCCTGGGACGCTCCTCCTAGGGAGGGCCGCCGCCCGCCTCCACCTGGAGCTCCCTCGCCCCGGCCGGGACCGGCCGCCACTTCCGGCGGTTCCTCTGGGACGCGCTCACCTGGGACGCGTTACCTGCCTCCGGGCACCTGGGCTGCAGGATGAAGGACCGGCTGGAGCAGCTGAAGGCGGTAAGTCCCGCGAAGCCGGGGGCTGCGGGGCGCGGCCGGGAGGTGGAGCTGCGTGGGGGGGGGGCTTCTCTTTGCTCCCCAGGTCCAGGCTGGAGGGCCGCCGAGCGCGAGGCCTGCCCTCTCCAGCCCCCGCAGCATCCCGCGCAGGTTCCTCACCCTTCCTGGTCCTGCAGGGTCATGTGCTCCGTGATTCATCGTCCAGCAGCGATTTCCCTGACCGCCTCTCACCTTCCCACCCCCAGGTGGACTGGCGGGGGGTGCTCGGGCCGAGCGGGGCTCGCGGAGAGGTCCTGAGGGGTCACCCCACAAGTGTCAGGCACCATATCCATAACTGGTCTCCTTCGCCTTCCTGATTCCCTCCTGGGGGACACTGGACCATGTTGACTCCTTCCCTGGGAGCAGCTCAGATATTCCGGTGACCTCTCCAGCTGTGGGCCAGTTCCAGCTCCTAGCCATCCGTTGGTGGTCTGTATTTAACCCGCACCTCCCGGCTCTACCCCCCCCCCCCCACCCCGCGGCACTCCCACCCTCCGCCCCCATTCCTTGGGACAGCTGTGGTCAGAGTAAAGGATCCTAAGATTAACCGCCATGGGCGTTGCTTCACAAAAACTGAAACCAGGTGACTCTTGAGCCTGTTTCCTTGTGTGTCAAGTGGGAATGTTAGAAGTTTGTTTGAGGATCATAATGGGACAATATAGAGAAGCATTAAAACATGAATTTTGGAGTCAGATATTCACTGACTCATTCAATAATTATTGAGTGCGTTCTATAGCACAGGCCCCGTGTTAAACCTTGGAGATTCAGTGACGCAGGCTCTACCTTAATGGAATTTCAAATCTTTCCCTTGATACAGTGTTGTCCATCTACTTGGAAGCAGCACATTAGGCTTCAGTCTAAACCTGCAGAATCTGATTCTTTATGAATCTTCCCAGGTGATTTATGAGCACATTAAAGTTTGGAAAGCACTGAACTGGGTGATAAGTGGGGCTTTCTCCTGCCCCCCCCCCCCCCCCCCCCCCCCCCCCCCGCTTACTGGCGATTGCTTAAAGTCCAAGCCTAAGTTATCTGTAAAATGAGTAGTTGTGAAAACTAAAAGCAAGAGAGTATGCAGAAGCACCCTTTGTATGGTGCATGCATATAGAATTTATAAATGGTAAGTATTATGCTAATAAGTGTAAATGTCTTTTGGAAAATAGAAGTGTTAGGGTGTTGCATTTGTTTTTTTCTCCTCCACCTTTGCTTGGATGAGATCTTCATGACCCTTTCACATGCACTGGGCAGTAGGGCTGCAGAGGAGGCCAGGCAGCAAGAACAGGGGAACAGCTGCATACTGTGGGAGCTGTGGGTGTGAGCTCGCCCCTGCCCCAGACTTGCTCTTTGTCATCTGAGCCTCAGGGCATCCTGGTTACTTACAGGGCAGAATTTATTGTCCCTATTTTATAGATGGAGAAGCTGGAGCTGGCCCTGGGTAGGAGGGATGCCCCAGGTCATAGATCTGGTCAGGGCACAACCAGGCGAGGAACCCAGACTTCTGATACTCTTTCCTTTGAAGCATGCTGGTTGAAGAGGCAGAAAGGAAAGAAGGCTTTGAAGAGTTTTGTATGTCATAAAAAAGTGCCAAACTGAACTGCAGACAGAGGTGACCCCCTTCCTTATTCAGGAAATCCATTTCCAGAGGAAGATGCCCCCTGGCCCTTTAATAGCTCATTGTCAACAGAGTAAAGAGTCTTAACTGAGCTTTGAGTTCCAAGAATAAATGCAGTTTGCTAGTGAATCCAAGCAGGTCCCTTTGCCTCTGTGCTTTGTGCTTCCTCTTACCCTCTATAAAAGGAAGCTAATGATATGTTTCTTCCCTTAAACCGTTGGGAGTGTAGTGAAAGTGAGACTGTAGAAGGTGCTGTTATTGTGGGAGTATTGTTCTGAAATCACAGGGTTGTTGCTGTTAGGTTTTGGAGTAGAGAGATGCCGGGCAGCACAGGGCTAAGAGGGACTGGGTTGCAGGTTCAAAGCCTTCTAATTGTGACCATGTTATTAATTAGCTGTGTTGCTTTTGCCACTTTACCCTTCTGCTTCTTGATGCTTCCTTTGTAAAACGAGGACTTTAGTTGATCCCAGAAGACCCTCCTGGCATTATTAATGGTCTCTGTGGAGACCGTCAGGATTTGTGTGTGTTCTGGTCTGGAGTCCATCTCCTCTACCCGCTGCCCCAAGAATCACCTTCACTGCAACAAGATATGTCAGTGTCTTTCTCTGGTTCCTTTTCTCAACCAAAAGTGTTTGCTAATCTTCATGAAACGAGAGTAGCCTGTGCAATGTCTTTCTAAACCCCAGGAAGGGAGGTGGTAAGTGCCTTCAGATAGCAGGAAGGTTGGCATGTGAATGAGATTAGCTTTGCTCTGTGTAGATACCAGGGGAAAGTGTAGGGTGGGTGGGTAGAAGTCAGGAATTGGTAAGAGCAATTTTACTGTTCAAAGATAGGGTAGGCTGACTGGAGAGGTGGCAAACCCTCCAGCAGGGTTTCTTTCCTAAGAAGCTTGTTGGGATGATAAATGCTGCAGGAATTTGAGTATCTTTTTGAAGGGGAGAAGGTGAACCAGGAGATTTAGGCCTCCACGAACCCTGAGAATGTATGATCCCATAAGATATTTTATTGTGAGCCTGTCCTGAGCTTCACTGTTTGTGATGTGAGTCTGTCTCAAGGCTTTGGAGACCATAAGGGTTTTCCCTCAGAATGGCACCTATAAAGTGGACCTTTATCCTTTTTCCCTAGCGTCATTGTGGGGGTGAAATGAGATAATCCATGACAATCACCAACCACAGTAAATGTGAGTTCTCTGTACTAGGCCCCCTGAGAGTAACATCCACACTAAATTAGGGCATACCTTCCTAAGGCCATGGTCACAAGCCTTGGTGTACCTTATCTCTTGCGCTGCCCCTCCTGATGGGCTCCCTCAGGAGCTTGCTTCTGACCTGGGAGAGGCTTGCCAAGAATGTACAATGCCCACATCCAGCCTTTCTTAGTGGTTTTTCTGATTTCTCTGTAGGTGAACTTTGAACTTGCTGAGTCTGGACAATTCCCAGTCTAGGGACCTTCTTGTCTGGTCCTCTTTTCACTCAGCAAACATTCACTGAGTCACCACTATGTTCCAGACCCTGCAGTTAGGTGCAGGAGTGGAGTGGCAACTAACACCTATTTCTGGCCCTTAGCAAGCTCATGGTCAGGTGGGGAGACGCACAAGAAATAGGCACTGTGATACACCATCCTTGTGGTAGAAGCAGCCACAGGAAGACCTGACTGGCTGGCCTCTGAGATGGGGATGAGCAAGGAGGTGGGATTTCCAGAAGTAAAGCTTTTGAGTTCAGGTCCTTCTTCACGTGTAATCTACTATCTTCAGATGCATGTAGAGTCCTTTAGGAAGAAAGACCAGGAGACTGTATTTTCTCAACCACTCTCCCATGGGTGAGTGCTTCATGTATAAACCATCAAGAACATAAAAATTCACGAAGCATTCACACAGGTGCCTGTGTATGGCAGCCACTGACTGCCATGGTCAGAGCCTTTTGACCTTTATGTGCTTTGCATCCTGCTATATATGACATTAAGCAGAATTATTGTACAAAGTCCTTGTCTTAAAGAGTAAATGGCCATAAAGGGAAAACAAAGAAATGTATTTCGTGAAAGAGAACAAAACCCAAAAAAGTCAAAGGTAGATAATGGAGAAGCCAGTGATGTATGGAAAAGAGGTCTGGGACTTTGGATCCCCTTGGAGACTGATCTGTGGAGTGCCTTGGACCCTCCAAGATCAGCACCAGTGGGCACACTAATGAAATCAACTCCCTGGGGCTCTAAAGGGCAGATTTACTTTTATTCTCTCTGTCCTGTCCTGTGTCTTGCCCCTTTCTAGTGGGCTGTGCTGTCGTCCTTCCCCAGTGAAGCTCAGGATGGTGCTGATCCCTTAGAAGCAGGAAGCTGTGCTTCCCCTCTACCTGACTTCTTCATGTACATGCTTACTGAGCCCCTACTCTGCGCCAGGTGCTTCGGATCATCACCTAGTCTTGACATACCAACCTACCCCTTTGTTGGGATTCTGTCCTTTAGTGATAAGATTTCTTATTAGTCAGGATTCCTTCCTCCCCTCCTCTGTCAACCTGGGAGGATTCATTTTCTGGGAGAGGTGTTTTGCTGGGAGCAGAGCTGGGATGAGGGTGACTGACGGGGATTGAGAAGGGATTACAGACCCATCAGCCCGTGGCCGAGAGAAAATGCTTGGATGAGAGAAGGGGATTAATTTTATTTTTATTCCTGTAAGTGTGGGGGAGGGAGGGATTGGCAGGCGCCAAGGCAGAGATGTTATGCAGGATCTTGTCCTCTCTTCCCTCCAGCACTTCCTTCCCCTCTTTGGTCAGCATTTATACCCATCTCCCCAAATTCATTCTTATAGACAGTGCTCCCTAACTGCAGCCTAGAATGCTCTCCCTCCGTCCTGCAGTTTGTGTTGACTGTATGTTGCTTTACAATTAAATACTTTGAAGTCAGTCTGGTTTTTACTACCATGAAGTGGGTTTGAAAACCACCTTCTACTTTTTTTTTTTTTTTATTTTTTAAAGATCTGGACTCTGTCTTTAACAGTTGATCTTCTGTGTTGAAGATCAATGATTCTTTTTGTTGTCACCATATCAACTACAGTAATAATTATAATTTATTGAGCAGCTACTTTCTATTGGGCAGCACTTGTGTTAGGTGCCTTGCCTACCTGATCCTCTCAATCCAGCAAGGCAAGGCAGTCTTATGTATTCTTCCCATTTTACAGGTGAGGGAGTTGAGGCTTATGTTTGACAGAGATCCCCAGCTGGAAAGTGGTGGGATCAATAATTGAGTGAGTCTCTCTTATATATTTGTATCATGCCCTGTGCTGTACTATGATCATTTCCCTCACCGCACTTTATGCTCCTCAGTACAGTGGCAGATAATGATATCCCCCTGGGTCTCAGGGCCTAGC